TGGACGACCCCGTCCTAACTGCTAAAGAAAGGCATGGATCTCTAGCCTACTGAAGATGGTGTAGAGCATATCAGCAGAAAGAAAGGAAGTTGGCTTTAGATTGCTCTTTATAAAAACTTCTTTCATCTTTGGTGTTTTCTTGCCTTGGACACCCTTTCCCTCAATAAATCTCCAACTCTTACAACATACATTTTATTCCTGATTGTCCAAAGAAATATTAATCATTCCTACTTTTTCCCTGAACATTTAATGGATTTTCCCTTTTACTTCAATTTAAACAGAAAAAAAGAAAACTTACCTAGTTCAAAATTTGCATCTTCAGTCTACAACAGTTCCTTCCCCTCACTTAAAAGTACCAAGTGTTTTTTGATTTGCACTAAAATGTATCACTTGCTTGTGATTGTCATATATATACCAAATGCAGGTCATTCACCATGTTGCCATGGATGGAAGAGATTCTTTCCATAGCAAAGTTGATTAAATTGAGCTGTGTTTAGAATCTCACTCATCTGTCCTATGCAAGTGATCTGAATGAGAACCAAAGGCTGGATTTTGAAAATGAACTTGAACTTTGTGTGAGATCCAAGAGAAACCTGGAGCTTCCAAACACAAAGCTTTGTGTAGCTGATTTAGTCCCATGGAAGCTGAAGAAGGGCAGTGGAAGAGCTCCAGTGAATGGTGACCAAAGAGAACAGAATACAAAGTGGACAAATTAGAGGTGGAATATCTATTTCATCTACTTCTGACGTTGGGGGTCTGGACCAGTCTAGACAAACAGTTTTCTAACTTAGTTTTCCCTTTTGTATGGTAAGAAAATGAGAAAAATCTCATTGTCAACTACTTACTAACGTCACTTTATGTTCTTCTACATTTAAAGGGGGAAATGATATAGGTATAAATAATTTGCATTGGTGTGGATTTTAAGGTCAATTTTGTTATATGTATATGTATTTCTGATCTCGAATAAGGTGTTGTGATTGTGTAGTTCATTTTTAAAATGTAATGTATAATTAGGAAATACAGGTTGTTGATGGATAATCATAAATAATAGTCAAGTTTGTAGTCATGTTACTTAGATTTTCTAGATATATAGAGATATATTTCAGATAGGCATTCTTCATATCTCTTAAAGGCTACAGAATATGGCATTTAAAATATTTTAATAACTTAGGACTTTTCATGACAATGAGACATATCTGCTCCTGGCGGCACCAATCTACTTCGAGAGGAAGATGGGCATCGGAGAGGGTCCTTATGGAGTTTGATAGCCATTTGGGCAAGAAACTGCTCTTGCCTGGACTGTTGCATAAAATGGACACAGAGAACCCACAGAGAGAGGACTGCTGAACTTGCCTAAAGGTGAGACGGTCTTTCAGAGTTCCTGACTCATGAAAGAGTCTGCGAGACATTCTGCAGGACACAGCAGATAGTGACTGAACTGTCTTTGAAATTTCCTGCTTCATGGAAATGTCTGCTGGATACTATAGGACTGAAGGCTGAAGATGGATGCCCCAATGGTACAGAAGAACTTTGGGTGACTGTCCAGGCAGTGAGATGTCTCTGTCATTTCTAGAGCTTTGGATTTCCTGTTTGCTTAGGTAATATTATATCCTTCTGGAGTCTTTGATGGAGTTGAAGAATGGATAGGTAGGTATAGTTTTCCATTGTTATGATAATTGATAAAATAGATATAAATATTGTAACTTTAATTCTTTTTTTTTTTTTTTTTTTTTTTTGGTTTTTCGAGACAGGGTTTCTCTGTGGCTTTGGAGCCTGTCCTGGAACTAGCTCTGTAGACCAGGCTGGTCTCGAACTCACAGAGATCCGCCTACCTCTGCCTCCCGAGTGCTGGGATTAAAGGCGTGCGCCACCATCGCCCGGCTTGTAACTGTAATTCTTGCTTGATAACTTTTGTTATATGTAATTTTGCTATGTTAAAGTTAAAGCCTTCCTTTTTTTGTTTAAACAGAAAAAGGGGAAGTGATGTGGGAGTGTCATATATCAATCTGTTGATTTCATTGGTTAAGCAATAAAGAAACTGCTTGGCCCTCATAGGTTAAAACATAGGTGGGAGGAGTAAACAGAACAGAATGCTGGGAGAAAGAAGCTGAGTAAGGAGTCGCCATGATTCTCCCACTCCAGACAGATGCAGGTTAAGATGATTCCTGGTAAGCCAGCTCTTGGGCTACACAGATTATAAGAAATGGGCTAGTCCAGGTGCGAGAGTTAGCTGAGAAAAGGCTAGATATAATGGGCCAAGCGGTGTTTAAAAGAATACAGTTTCTGTGTAATTATTTCAGGTAAAGCTAGCTGTGCGGGCGGCTGGGTGCCGGAACGTAGCCTGCCGCTCCTATTACAACAGTAGTTAAAATGCACACTAGCAGCAGCTTCGGACATAAGAGAAAAACCGAAGCATTCGCTTTTGTGTCTGACTAGTAGTAAAGTGGCCCGGGAGCCTAAGAGTAATCAATAAATGTTTCTAAATGCATGCACGAGGAAAAAGCAATGGACTATACAGATGTTACATCAGAGATATGTGCCAAGAAGAAACATACTCACAAATACAGGCTTTTAGTGGGCAGGCATAGGAATATAGACAATCAAAGAGGAATGGGTTTTCTTCATGTTGGAGCTGATACCAGGGCCTAGCTCAGGAAGGCAAGATGGTTGTAACATAAAAGTTCTGGGATTCCAGAACCTCGGAGAAGACTAGCAAGCATGGTTTTAGAGTTAAGATCCACTATAGAAATGTCTACCCAAATTCATATTAAGCAATATGTCTGAATGCTTGAGTTCCTATTTGTTGCAGGAAGGAGATAAGGCAGGAGAGAGAGAGAGAAACATAAGGATGTCATGGTAGACTTCAGTGTTATTCTTCAGTGTTACACACAGCAGAGTGTAAATCCATGCTCTATCATTCATTCTGACACAACTACTGAGAAGACGTTAATCGCTGAGACACCTAGATGAAGACTTTAATTTTGAAAACTGGAGATTGAAGGATCTACTCTGTAGAAACTCTTTTGCAGATTGAATATAGGATATGACATATGAGGCATAAAACATATTTCACATGATATGCTTTTTCTTTTTATTATTAATATGGTGTATGATGATGTGTGTAAATGCAGGTGTGCATGTGCCATGGGTTCAAGTGTGGAGTTCCGCAGACAATCTAGGAGTTGATTCTCTCTTTCTACTGTGGGTTCCGGAGAGCAGACTCTCCATGACCAGGTTTGCACACTAAGTGCTTTTTATCAAAGTCGACTGGTCTGCCTCATAATGCATGCACTTCTTTTGTTGTTGTTGCTATTTTCATTATTGTTACTGATGTTACTATAGATTTTGTGGCCAGTAAGGTTTTTATCCATCACCTAAATATCGGTCTTAACTAAACTTGCAATTTGTAAAGTAAATGACTTCTTTATTTTACATTTTCTTTATGCATAGTTTCCCCCTTTGGCATTCTTGTTAAAGCTATCCCAACCCCGTTTTTGTTTTAGAGGGAAAAAGCCACTCTATAGCCAGTACAGGCTAGCTGAGTTTCCTGTGACTCAGGAGACAATTCCCATATGGGCGGTTTCCTTCACAATACTATGCAAGAGACGACTCTACCACATTCAGGTGCACCTACAGCATCTTCTCAAAGACTCCTTGGGGTTCAGTTCTTTAAACAAAACTTGAGAATTCTTGGTTTGTTGAATGCATACAGAATTAGGATAAAATAACTTTTGAATTAGACAGATCAATAAGATAATAAATTTGTAATGGATAAAATAATACTGGTAACTTAACAATACATACCTTGGAATCAGCTAACAATAGGGCTTATTACTGCTAAGTCAAATTTTTTTTTCGTTTATTTCTTTATTAAAGCTTTCTGTCTCTTCCCTGCCACCTCCTCCCATTTCCCGCCCCCTCCCCCAATCAAGTTCCCCTCCCTTGTCAGCCCATAGAGCTATTAGGGTTCCCTGCCCAGTGGGAAGTCCAAGGACCACCCACCTCCATCCAGGTCTAGTAAGGTGAGCATCCAAACTGCCTAGGCTCCCACAAAGCCTAGTGGATCAAAAACCCACTGCCATTGTTCTTGAGTTCTCCGTAGTCCTCATTGTCCGCTAAGTTCAGCGAGTCCGGATTTATCCCATGCTTTTTCAGACCCAGGCCAGCTGGCCTTGGTGAGTTTCTGATAGAACATCCCCATTGTCTCAGTGTGGAAACAACCTAGATGCTAAGTCAAATTTTAAAGAGCTTTAAGCTGCTATACTGTGCAGCAAAACCATTAAAATGATTGGAGTTCCTTTTGAGGCTTCTTCACTCCCACGTTTTGATTCTAACAGAAACAGGCCTCTGTGTGCCTTTCTGGTAGGCTGACTTCCCAGTTTCAAGTCCTCAGGAAAGCGTAGTTTTGATCAGAAGTGGAACTCTGTTGGTTCTAAGGAGAGCAGACAGAGTGCAATCATAGTGCCGGGGCAGGGGAAGATTGCCTAAGTGCAAAAGTTTCACTTCTAATTTTGAGCTCAACTTTTTAGGCTGAGGAAATTGTTTCCAAACGTTTAGCGCAATCTCAGTTCCACAGTCTCAGACAGAAAATATAATCCATGTAGGAAACATTGTTCTATGTCTGGAAAAAACGGGGAGAGACTTGTGTCTGCAGAGCATGTCTGCAGGACGTTTGACTAAAAAGGCGACCCCCGCAGGATGTGGGACCTAAGGCGCCTTCACATTGCCACAACAGCCACTCCACTTCTAGGGACCCGCAAAAGACATTCTTATACTGACTCGAGATGAGGAGCTCCTGAGGTGCTCAGGAAAACAAGGTGGGAGGCTAAAAGCCGCTGGAGTGGAACAAAGGATCTCAGGAAGCCTTCCGAAGTGGCTGCACCTCCCTGGGAGGGGTGCTGGAAAAATCCCTGGCGTAGGGAGCCTTCACCCTGGAGACCGCAGGAGGCGCGGCCCCGCCCTCCGTAGCCCCGCCCCAGCCAACGCGGACCAATGAGAGAGCCGGATGTTAGCGTGTGGGAGGTGCGGCTGGGTTGCTACAGCCGGAGCTGGGCGGCGGCGGGCGCTGCCGGAGGAGCCTCAAGCAGTTCGCCATGGACCAGCTGGAAGGTGAGACTCGGGTGTGTGGCTGCGGGGCTCGAGAGGCCGGGGCTGGGGCAGGGGCTCCCGGGGCAAGTGCGGCCGGCCGGCCCGCGGCTAGGTCCCCGCCAGGCCCGGAGCTGGTCGGCCCCGCACCGGAGCGTGACCGCGGGCTGCCAGCCGCGCACGGTCCTGGGCTTTCTCGCGGGCTCGGAGCACCTCGTCCTCTCTCCTGCAAGGCCTTCCCACAATTTTCTGGTCCTTTTTGATCCAGGAGTTTCCTTTGGGTCGTGAGCGTCTCTGGTCAGGTTTTATTTTCTTTGCAAACTGTATTCTCGGTTGAGGTCCGCAACATCCCTTGCTGGCCCCTCAGGACTCGCCCCGCCTCCCGCAAGCCCGGGGCACACACCTTGGGCACTCCCTGGTAGCCTTCCTTCCATTCCTACCTCATCTGGGTTGGACAGATGCCAAAGTATCTCCAAGGAAGTGTCCCTGGCCAGCTCTACTCCAGGAACAATAGCTCCAGCTTGATGGTTTATTCACGAGGACTGACTAGGGAAGAGCCAGCGTTGGTTCCTATCTTCGCTTTTTCCTGGCGCTGCTGTAACCATGGCTTCAGATTTTGCTTTGTTCCCACTTCTTTCACTTTTTCTCCCTTTTCGTTCATTCAAATCCCATGTAAGGACAACGTTCCTTGAAAAACAAAGGGAGGGAAAACCAGAATCATCAACAACAAAAACCCTAACATTGGTAACAACAGCTTTAAGATTTAAATAAGACAGTAAACCGTTCGATAAACAGGCTTTCAGGTTTTTTTCTTTTCCTTATTAAAAAAAATTACACCACTTAACGTACTTGGAATGAGCAGGGGCACTGAACCCTTCATTTTATGTATTATGGGTAGTTAAATATTTCAGGGTGAGTTATGAAGTGAAAAAGTAGTAATAACTTTTTTTCAGTGCTTTAAGTTTACCAGAAAGAAAATGCAATAATATAATTATGAATTTTATTTCATAGTTTTATTTTACAGTGATACCCTCACCAAACATCTTGTAGGCTATTAAGAATTCTAGTTGACCATATCTGGGCAGCTACAGTTTACTATTACCTGTGAAAGTCTTGGTGTACCTACCGTTCAACTTTACACGGAATGAGAAATTGTACTGACAGCATGCCTTCTTAATCTCTTAATTAGAGAGACTCCTGCAGGCTGCTTATTTTAATTATTGAAAAAGCAGGGTTGAGGCGTGGGTTCCAGTGTTTTTATGCTATCATAGTGCATGAAGAGTGCTTTAGATCACTTCCCAGGTTTTTACTGATCACCATTTACAGTGGATAGGAATAGTCACCCAGTGTTTCCCTTCTTCATCGTGGGCATACAAAGAATAAGAGTTGTCAGAGCTCTATCCATTCTAAGAATCTTTACATTTTAAGCTGTGCTCATGTTGCTGTCACAATATAAGTCAGAAATTTGGGAATATAACTGAAAACTATCATAATATTCAGCCAGTGTGTGTGTGTGTAAAATATACGGATCTGGGTGTAATATGGAATGAGCATGATTTATGAGTCTGGTTTTTGTAAAACAGTACCATCCCTTTAACTCTTTGATTTTTTTTCTAAAAAAAATAAGATACTGTCATTAAATATGTTTAATTATGATAAATTAGGATGAAATATGAGAAAATAGTTTTTTGGCAGAGCAGCTGAATATTGGTGACTTCAAGTAGTTCAACGTAATAAAAGCTCAGAGTGTTCTGTTGAGTGGAAAACTGGGCTTTTCTTTTTGGCTTCAAACCAATCCCCCACCCTCACCTTCCTTAAAACAAAAAAAGTCAGTTTCTTTTACATTACCTTTTGCAGAGTTCTGAATTTTTGACTCATTAATTTATTCACCCATGCTTTCACTTATTTGATATATTTTTCTCTAGAGTGGAACTTATAGGACAGTATTATTATAAAATCTTCACGTTTGCTCACTCTATTTTTGTTATTAAGCAAAAAATAATCTTTGACATTTGCTTACATTTTTAGTTGAAAGTAGTTACTGGTCTGAAAAAATTCTTCCCAAGCCATTCTTACTCTTTTAAAGTAAATTTTAGCTGCTTACATATAAATCATACCATGTATGTTGTTTTTGATTTTTTGGAACTGTTATGTCTCCGGAAATGTCACAAACTAAATTATCAAATTGCACACTGTATTGGAAACCAATGTTGTTATAATTTCGTATAATCCATAGCAGAGCTTTTGCATGGCTTGAGTAATTAGAGCAAAACCTTTGATCCCTTTTCATGTAAAAGCTGTACCCTGGGTGTATCTACAGAGCACAGAAGTAATTTTAGAGTTGGGGAATTCTAATCTCTTTATCAACTATAAGAGGGAGGTGATAAAATCTCAGGTTTGGCCTTCTTAATGCAGTATGGTCATTGCCTCCCTAATATCCTCAGACATCGTTGTAGCAGTTATGGCAGACATTAGCAGGCCATTCCTTCTCTGAACTTCTGCACTTATTACCTTAGTGTTGCCTTTAAAACGTAATAAGTCCCATTGCTCTTCGCTACTCTAACACCTACTGAACATCTTCCACTATGCTTTGTTAATGCTTTTCTTTTATTGTATCTTAGCAAGATGTTTCTGTCAATTTAGGGGTTTTGGAAGTTGTTTACAATGCACTTCCTGTTTACTTAGGTAATATTATATCCTGCGATCTTTGATGGAGTTGAAGGTTAAATAGTTATAGTTTTCCTTAGATATGATAAAAGATAAATTATGTGAAACTTTAGACTCACAAAAAATATCGTAGCCGTAATTATTGCTTGATACCTGTTTTGTTATATGTAATTTTACTCTGTTTAAGTGAAAACCTTTTTTATTTAGACATAAAGGGGGAGATGATATGGAATTCCCCTCTGAATCTTGTGCATATGTTTTATTACCATTGGTTAATAAAGAGTCTACTTCAGCCTATGGCAGGACAGAATATAGCCAGGCTGGAAGAGGTAGAGAGAGAAAGAGAGAGTAGGCGGAGTCAGACACCATGTAGCTGCTGAAGGAGAAAGATGCTGGAATCTTACTGATAGGCCACAGCCTCATGGTGATACATAGATTAAAAGAAATAGGATAATTTAAGATATAAATACTAGGTAGGAATACGCCTAAGCCGTTGACCAAGCATTGTTGTAATTAATGTAGTTTCTATGTAATTATTTGAGTCTGGGCCGCCAGGAAACCAGTGCATAATCACCTTTTGCCTATGTTGTATCCCGGTTTAATGAATACTCCTTATCTTTGTGTGGCTTTTGATTGAGGCTGAGTTGGGTTTTTTTTTGTTTGTTTGTTTGTTTTGTTTTTTTGTTTTTTTTTGTTTTTCGAGACAGGGTTTCTCTGTGGTTTTGGAGCCTGTCCTGGAATTTGCTCTTGTAGACCAGGCTGGTCTCGAACTCACAGAGATCTGCCTGCTTCTGCCTCCTAAGTGCTGGGATTAAAGGTGTGCGCCACCACCACCCGGAATTCAGGTATTTTGATGGCCTGCAGGGTTTAAGGAAGCTTTTATTTAAACTTTTGTTTTATTTTTCTTGTGTTTTTTTTTTTTTTAAATTTCTTCTCTGTGATTTGGAAATGTATGTTTTTTGAAAATTTACTTTTATGTATTGGTGTTTGGCTTACATGTATATACGTGCACTGTGTCTATGCCTAGTGCTGATGGAGGTCAAAAGGAAGTGTCTGATCTCTTGGGACATTTGTGTCACCATATGGGAATTGGGACCTGAAGTCCAGGTCCTTTGCAAGAGCAGTAACTACTCTTACCCATTTGGCCATCTCTCTGATCCAGAATTTGGGCATATTATTCAAATCAGAATCCCCGTTATCTCAGCTACATAAAACAAAGCTATTAAACATTAAACCGTGTTGACTATATTAGGTATTAAATGTACACAGAAAAAATAGTAGGTTAGGAACAACAGGAAATTGGGTAGACAGAGTCCTTAGAGAAGTATTAAAACTTGCCACACTCACACACAAAAAGGAATGTGGAGAAGAAACTATTACTATGAAGAAAGAAGTGAGCTTGAAGAAGCTTATATTATCTGGGTGTAGGTAGGAAATCTAGTACTAACCTGCCAAATCTTGCTTAGGTGGAGAAACCTTGGAAATTCAGGACTGGGAAGAAATACAGAAGCCTAAAGAGGAAGAACAGTAAATGTCAAAAGATTTATGAATACTGCCTCGTGCTATGGAAAAGCCTAGTCAGTGAGAGTGCAGAAAAGGCAATTAAAATGACAGTTGGTAGATTGATAGAGTCATTGCCTCCCATTTCTTAGTCACCCTTATTAGCATTCCCTGATCTTGTCTGCTTCCCAAGATAGCCTTGACTATCTTATTTCCCATATTTTTTCTTCTTCTTCATGTGATTAATTCCTTGACATTTTGAATATTTGTTTCTACTTAACTTTTCTCCTATTTAGAGAAAATTTTATTTTCTACTATTTAGAGATAAAGGTCTCTATATGATCAGGGTTTTTGTTTTTATTTCATTTTTCTTTTGCCTTTAGCTCCATATGTCTTAGAACATCTTATCTAATGCCAAAAAATCAATTAGTATTTGTTGAATTAAGTAAGAGGCCTGTTTTAGTATATGGATAGGCTTAGAAAGTGTGTCTAATCACGTAGGGAGTAGAGGGGGGCTAACTAGACTGTGTCAGTATTTAAAAATATTCTACCCAGGAAATCGATCTGAAGTATTCCCTGAGTGAAAAAGAATTTCTGATAAAATGACTAGTAGAAAATAACAGCACTCTGTCTTTTTTTCTTAATTGATAAGAAAATTCATTTAACTTTGTTTAAGATAACATTTCAAAGCATTTGCCCACGTAACAAAGCATTTGACAACGATTTATGAAAGGGCAAACAACTCGGGAGGAACTTAGAGCAGTGTCTCTGTGTCTGTGCTGCATCCCTTTTCTTCAGCTCCCCGGTGGATGCCTGGAACCAGCTGGCCGGCCTATAGGTGCCATGGTTTTCCATGTATGCACTTAATGGAAAAATTTAGCTTTAATACTAGAAATACTAAGAGATTGGCAATAGCTGATAATACATTGAATAATTGCACTCTGACATTAACTATGAAAATATGGCCTGAGAGAGCCTATCAAGATAAACGTTAGTTTCTTAGATTGTAGTTGACTAGGTCAATGAAACTGCAGTAAAAGAAATCCTGGATTAAAAATTCTTCCGAGATAAGATATTGTGATAAAGTTGGAAATCTAGAGAAAGCTTGAATGTTTTAAGAAAATTTAAATCATTTAAGTTCTATTTGTTAATCCAAAGTCAGATAATTCAAGTGAGGTGGAGGGTTATGTATAGAATATAGTAAGTGTATATGTGGAAGTCTAAAATGATTTGAACAGGGAAATTTTAGGACATTTTGGAGACGGTAGGTCTGAAAGAAGGGCCATCTGCATAAAACCTTGGGAAGAAAGTGGCAAAACAAATTCAAGAGTTATATTGCATGTGAAAAGCTGAATTCAGACGAGCTGTGGTTCTTTATAATGTATAAGACTACCTGTAAGCACATTCACATATAGTAATGAATGCAGGAATTGTTCTATTATCCAAAATTTCTTTTGAAAATGTATTCTACTATTAATTGTATACATCTTAGAGTATTTATAACTATTTTAGATAATTGTATATTATTTCACCTCACCAATATTGTATACTAGTGTTACATAAAAGTATAATTTCAAACCTTATAGAAGTTTTGAAACCAATGAATATTAGAACTCTTAAGAGAATCAAGTTTGTATTAGGTAAGTTTTACAGGGATAAGATTTGTTTTCTGAGTTTTATAATACTAAAGTATTTTAAACAAAATATTTTTCTTTTATTTTTGATACACACACACACACACACACACACACACACACACAATGTATCATGATCATATCCACCCCAACTCATTTTTCCTACTTCCCAGAGAGACACTTGCCAATACATCCCCATGTCCTCATATTTTTTCTTACTATTTTTATAACCATTGAGTCCAGGCTCAGTCTCATGCCTGTAACATGACTTCAGGGAGTTCTCAGTGCAGTGGCCTGTCCTGTCCAGACAGAAGCATTTCCCTTGTCACATTCTTTGAGGGCCCTCCTCTGAGATGTTTTCTGAGTCCTGGCTGAGCCCTCAGCAGTCACTTAACCTCAGCACTTTGGTTTTGAGTCTCTACATTAACTGCTGCCCACATCAGAAGAAGCTTCTCTAGCCCAGCTAGGCAGCACTAATTCTATGGGTCTAAATGTAAATATTTAGAACACTGTTTGACAATATGTCTGTTTAGTAAACAACAGTTATAGGCTCCTCCTAGAGCTCATGGCCCCTTGAAAACCATGGCCCCTTGAGCCAGGGACTTTTTTTTTTATTGATATTTTTATTGAGCTCTACATTTTTCTCTGTTCCCCTCCCTGACTCTCCCCTCCCTCCTTCAATCCTCCCCCAAGGTCCCTGTGCTCCCAATTTACTCAGGAGATCTTGTCTTTTTCTACTTTCTACTTCCCATATAGATTCGATCTATGTAAGTCTCTCTTAGTGTCTTTATTGTTGTCTAAATTCTCTGGGATTGTGGTTTGTAGGTTGGTTTTCTTTGCTTTATGTTTAAAAACCACCTATGAGTGAGTACATGTGATAATTGTCTTTCTGTGTCTGGGTTACCTCACTCAAAATAATGTTTTCTAGGTATATATATGTAGAAGAATGAAAATAGATCCATATCTCTAAACCATGCACAAAACTCAAGTCCAAATGGATCAAAGACCTCAACATAAAGCCAGCCACACTGAACATTATAGAAGAGAAGTGGGAAGTACACTTGAACTCATTGGCACAGGAGACCAGTTCCTAAATATAACCCCAGCAGCACAGACACAGAGAGAAACAATTAATAAATGGGACCTCCTGAAACTGAAAAGCTTCTGTAAAGCAAAGGACACGGTCAACAAGAAAAAAAACAGCAGCCTACAGAATGGGAAAAGATCTTTACTAACCCCACATCAGACAGAGGTCTGATCTCCAAAATATCTTAAGAGCCAGGGACTTTAGACCAGAGTTGCAGTACCAGTCATAAATTCCATCCTGTGGATGAGGCCTCAAACCAGTTAAAAAGTAGTTGGTTTCTATATATCCTTCATGCAGCTATTGCCAGGCAGTTGTTAATACAACATCTAAGTCCAGCACTGGATAAGACTATGATTTATTTTTTTTGTCCCCCGGTGGCCTCCTGTTTGAATGAAATTGGCCACCATAGACTCATAAGGATAGGCACTTTAGGTGGTATAGCCTTGTTGAAGGGAATGTGTCACTGGGGTGGGCTTTGAGGTTTCAGAAGCTCAAGCCAGGACCATTGGCACTGCCTTCTCCTTCTGCTTGCTGACCCAGATGCAGAACTCTCAGCTCTTTCTTCTCTTCAGCACCATGTCTGCCTGTGTGCCACCATGGTTTTCACAGTGATGGTAATGGACTAAACTTCTGAACCTGCAACCCAGCACCAGTTAAATGGTTGGATTTGTAAGAGTAGCCATGGTCATAGTGTCTCTTCACAACAATAAAACCCTAACTAAGATACCTACACACAGACACACACACTCATACACTCTCACACACTTTATTTAGTGGCACTGATTTTATTTTATTTATTTTTTTTTGCTTTAAAGACATTTGAACATGTTTGATGACTTGTGAGAATTAATTCCAAAAATTAGATTTTATCACATGGTAAACCTATGACAGATATTAAGTTTTAAAGTTTTTAGTGAAAACGTGAGAGACAATTTCATTCTTGCTGACTTGACTAGATAAGTAAATAAGTATGTTGTACTGGCTTTAGAGAGCAATGGCTACGTTGCTCACCGTGTGCTCCAGGATGTATCTGCTAGCAAGTAGGTACTCAGGTTGCCATTCAGAGCTTATCAGTGAATGGAATTCTTTTTTTTTTTTTCTGAATAGTTAACTGGGAAAATGTGTGTGTGTGTGTGTGTGTGTGTGTGTGTGTGTGTGTGTGTGTAAAATTAAACCTATGGCTTTAGGCATGCTAAGCACCTACCACTAATTAAAAATCAATTATCATTAGGTTTTGCTTTGTAATGGGCCCAACCAGTAGGTATCTAAAGAAATACTCTTTTAAGCACGTGAACTGTGTAAATTTTTTTATTATTTATACTGTTTAATTTTTAAATTGATTTTTATTTAAAAGAGTTTATGTAAACTTAGGAAACTTAATAGATTATTAAGCATGTTCTGTTTGACTTAAAGACCTTCTTATCTTAATGAACCTAATGAGGTTCTGTATGGAAGGTACTTCAGCTTTCATAGTCCACATCAGGGAGATTTCTCCATTCTTATGCCAGAATCAGAGGAGGAAAACATCAGGTGAATCTTGATTTGCTTTTCTAATGTTCAGCTTAAGGACTGCTATCCAGACAGCTCACCTGCATGTGAGTCTCAAATAGTCCTTGTTCACCAGTGAAATAGTGCAGTGGGGTACTAGGAGAGTGGGAGAACAACCCTCCTTATGTGGCAGCATTTGAGTGTCTTCTTCCTGGTCTGTCTGGGATTGCTGTATTGTTTTTCTGTGGACTCTCACCTAGTGAACAAAGGGCATATTTTATGGAGTCAAATTATGCATTTTTTTCAGGAGTTTGATATTTTGAGCAGAAAATATTTTTCTAATTTCTTTTTATATAAAAAGAGAATTCCATAGTCAGTTTGATTTCAGTAGATGATAGGTGGGTAATTTTACAGGTTTGTAATTCAATTTTAGAAAATTATATGTATGAGAATAAGTTTAATACTTTGATATAAAATGTTTGATTAAATCAGTTGTATAGTGTCTCAAAGAACATAGTTTTGTTTTTCTTTTGAATCATTTCAGTTATAAAGTTTGTTGAATCATGGTAGGCTTCTTTAATGGCATACAGATTGTAGCTAGCTATTTCTGACTTAATTAATTGTGCCTGTGAGTTTAGAATACTTTAGTGCAAAAGTCTAATGAGTGACTTTAATGTTAAGCATTATATGTGTAATAAATAAAATGAGTAATTTAGAGGATATGTGATGTACAAACTTATATAAATAGAGGATCATTTTTTAATTGATTGATTTATTAATTTTTTTTCTAGCCTGATCACAGAATAACTAGATGATCTCCACTTTGGATACTTAAATTTTCTATTGATAATAAAACAATATTCCTTTCATTCTAGAAACCCATATAAACTTAGGGTGGTAACTATCATGAGTAATAGCTTTTCATGCCTTAGACCTCTTAAGATAGATCTGATTCTGATTTTTTTGTATTTACATAATGTATAAATAATTAAAACTACATATTTCCAACAATATCAATTTGGTTTTCCTTGGATTGTCACTGTTTTATGTGTACTATTGTTTTTATGTCACTGATAACTCTAAGGCTCAAGCCATTTATATTGATAATTTGCTCATTTTGAATTGCAACTTTTACCTTAGAGCTCCCAACTCACCTATAAGATCTAACAGGAAACATTAAAAGCTTAAAGTTTTGAAATTTTCATTGTGAAAACATTTTAATTGGATTATTTTGTGTTTTAGAAAATGGAAGTGTTGTCCAGGTTGGAGAATTGTTGCCCTGCAAGATTTGTGGAAGGACGTTCTTTCCATTAGCCCTGGTGAGTAGGTGGACTCTAAGATTTGTGGAAGGACGTTCTTTCCATTAGCCCTGGTGAGTAGGCAGACTCTAAGATTTGTGGAAGGACGTTCTTTCCATTAGCCCTGGTGAGTAGGCGGACTCTAACCTGCTTGTGTTGGAACCTGGTAGATCTGGCATTGTTTCATACTTGAGAATAGTTGTTATGGCTGAAAGTTATGGGGGAGTTCACAGAGGATAATCTTTAAAGATTAGTTTCATCTGTAAATGACTGAACTTCTGAACTCTACTTTCATATGTTAAATATTCCAGCTTTGTAGAAGTAGTAGGAATATTACGAGATAGAAACACACAAAACACAAATTTAAGAGGCATAGCACCTCATAAATGTAAATGAGAATGTATTAACAAAATGTTATAATCTCAAGAATTTGCTTTAAAATTTTTGCAGGAACAGGATTATTTGCTAAAATATAATTGCTGAGCAATATGATGAATAAATAGGGTCACTTTTTCTGTTTTCTTTCTGTGTTTGAAATCCTCCAAAGCAAAGATTTTGTTGTTTTACAGTATAAAAGTACAGCTAAAAATGTCTTAGTTTCATCTTCTTATCAAACAGAAATTGAATAGAAGCATGTTTAATTAATTCTGATAAAGTTACCCAGGTATATATAAAATAATAATTATGCCTTTGTATCTTTTTAAATCTCAGATATAAATGTGAAGTTATTAGTAAGTTGATGTTAATTTTTTTAAGTATCAGTCTGCTAACTGAAGTTCTGGCGCATTCCACTGTGCATACTTCAGGCTATTTCTGTTAAGGAAAGTGAAGAATTAATGCTTGAAAATCTTCCGATTGCAAATTCCTTCTAAATAATGATGACTTTTTTGTAATCATTTAGAAATACCATCATATATCTTCAGCAATTTTTTCTCTTAACTATTTTCAAATATACTGCTTAGCTTCTATAGAAAACAAAAAAAAATATTCCTCCCTATTTAAGTATTTAATTAAATGATGTCAAAGTTTAAAACAACTATACTTTATATAATAAAATTTTTGAGTAGGCACCACATACCCTTGACATATACTGCAAACTTTCCAAGGACAGACATATGTGAGAATTCTAGAAAGTTGCCTGCTGCCACTATTTTTATTAAGAAATAGAGCCATTCATTACTGGTTAATACCTATAATACTAACACATGGAAGTACAAGAAAGGAAGACAGGTGCAAGTTTTGGAGGCCAGCCTGACCCTTAGTGTAAGACCCTGTGTCACGAGAGAAAAAAGAAAAAAAAAATAGACATTTAAAAAGTTTATTCTAGGGAAGGGAGAGATGATTAAGCAGTTAAGAGCACTTGTTGCCCTTGAAGAGGACCCAGGTTCTGTTTCCAGGACCCATGATATCGTACAACCCTCCATAGCTCTAATTCCCGGGGATCCTACAAACTCTTCTGGCCTCTGTAGGTAACCATGCATGCTGTAGTACATATACATACTTACAAGTACATGCTCATACACATAAAAGTACATCTTCAAACCTTTTATTTCAGAGCATTGAAATAAATGTCCAATGTTCTTCGAAATAAAGCTAAAAAATACAAATAGTCAGTGGGTGTGGGATAGCTTCAGGACTCAATAAGTCAGTTCTTTTTTTTTTTTTTCAGACAGACTTCACAGTGCCAGTTTCATGAACATATTCTCAAATACAAAAGGAACAAAGATGCTTTTAGTACACTATCATTGGTCAACAAGCTGTTTATAGTGGAGGGAGAATTCTTGTTTCTAGAGAACTGGTTATTTGGAGATTAGTTAAGATAATTTTAACTCTGTGTGCTTAAAAGGAACAAATGTGTTAGCATTTATTAACAAAACAACTTAGATGTAGACAATTACACACCATAAGAAGGTCTTTGTGAAGAAAGCAAGCTTGGGTTCTAGATGGAGGAGAAGGTTTTGAGTTCTAGGAGAAAAGAGGGCACAAATTAGACCACTCGGTTTGTTATTTTGGGTTAGTGTTGTATTAATCCATTTTTATGTTACCATATGCAATCCAACTACCAATGGGGTAACTTTTGTAACCCCGAGACTGAGTCATTCTTCCCTTGCATGATGTTTTTCATATCAGTGTTTTGTATTTACTAAAGATTTTAAACTGAAGTAGTTTTGAATTGTTTCATTATTGCTTATTCTTTGCCCCAGTGAGAACTAGAATATTAAATGACTTCTGATAAAATTTTAGGGTAGCATTTCTATATAATTTCCTTAAAGTTAAGTGTGTGTGTGTGTGTGTGTGTGTGTGTGTGTGTGTGTGTTAAAGCTTAATTAAGGGAAGATATAACTTTGTCCCTTGGTTTTTTAATATAGTGTGTAAGATAAACTGAATGTTTAGTTTGGTGGTCTTCTCTTCTGTAGAAAATAAAATATTATGCCGCATATCTTTATTTTAACAGAAAAAACATGGACCCATTTGCCAGAAAACTGCCACTAAAAAGAGGAAGACTTTTGATTCAAGCAGGCAAAGAGCTGAAGGCACTGATATTCCCACAGTCAAACCTCTTAAACCCAGGGTAACTATAAACTTTGGAACAGTATAGATCTTATTATACTTCTTGAAAAAATCATAATGAGTGTTATTCTAGGTAGAATAAACAAAATTCAGTGCTATGTATTCAGAATAAATATCAGAAACCTAAATCTTATTTTAGTTAACGAGAGAATAAAAATGTCACTGATAATGGATAAAATTGTATGGGAAACTGTGGTTTCAGGTGGTCATTCTAGTTGTGTAGAACTTCACTGTGAGCTAGTTTGAAAATGGACAAGTATTTGAGTGACTTCCTCAAACTGACTATGTGATGCGTTTTATTGTGCGTTGATTTGAATAACACAAAACAAACTTAATAAAGTGATTTTCTTAAAGTTACATTATGATTAAAAAAATAACTTAGCAGTTAAGAGTACTTGGTACTCTCCCTGAGGAACCATGGTCAGTTCCCAGCTGCTGTGTCCAGTTGCACATTCTTTAGAAAATGTTACTTGAAGCTAAGCTAATGAAACATTTATCTTTGCTTTGCTGTCTCTGAATATTTGCAGGGAAGATGTGAGACTTGCTATAGAAGCATAAACCAATATTTGAAGTTTTTCATACAGGTGCTGTTTACATGATTAGCTACCATAGGTGAATTAGCCATATATTTGAGACAGCGTATCTCATAGATACAGAGGCTGGGGAAAAGACTAAGAATCTATCAGTGTCTGGTGTGGTGGGGTCCCTGGGTCAAAGGTCTCGTATAAATCAGGTCACAGGATTCAGAGTATGAACAACTGCATAACAAGCTTTATTTTGTATGGCTTTTTATACAGACTAAGAAGCATTAATCTCAACTCTGGAAATCCCCCTTTACCCACGTACATGATCATGAGAGAGGATGTAAGAAACAATATCTCAATAAATAACAGTAATAAAAATGAAAAGAAGTACATAGAAACAAAGCAAAAATTTTACAGAAGCAAGGCACTTCCTTAATCTATATCTGGTGGAGCGTGAAGAACTGAGCTGTAAGGCCACTTCCCTATCCAGGGTACAGTTTCTGACAGAACATTGAAAAATGGGCAGAGAAAGTTTGCTTTCATCTATGCTTGGTTTGCCAAGCAACCGTTTCCCAGCTTCATCTCATCTGTCCCAGGAGGAGCCTGCACTCTGAGCAGTTCTGTGTCCACAAATCCTGGACATTGATCTGGTTATGTGCCACACTATGCTTATTAGGCTTATGTATGCTTCTCTTTCCCTGTACAGTTGTATAATTTTGATAGAGGTAGTGTCTTAGGGACTACTTGGAGATTACACAAGATCGTAATATTCAGATGGTACTCTGCTCTTTAAAAAGCGTCATTGAACTGCTTTAAGAATAAAAGCAAAGTAAAAGCTTTACTGAGTAGTTTGCTGCCTGGCTCCTCCGTGAATATGACCCATAGTGTGTTAGCAGCGCTATCTGAGAGCATGCTATCTGAGCAGTCTTGGCTCTCACATACACACTGAATTAAAATCTGCTCTTGCAAGACTCTTGGGTGAGTCACATACATATTAAGGTTTGAAAGCAATTAGATGTTATCATTGTAGTATATTCTTACTGTATTTGTCGAGGAAATCCTACAAAATCACAAACACCTAAATGATAGAACGCACTCTAGTTTGGGTAAAATTAAGAATAAGACATCATGCATAGACTGAATAGGAATGGCCTACCGCAATTGCAGTCCAGCCTAAATTACCCCAAAAAGCATATGTAGAAAGTTTATGGGATTCTGTGACTAAGAATATGATACCATATACATGAGAGGGACTTTTTATCTTAAAGGTAGTTTCTCTAAGCTGAGTTCTTTAAGAATGTATAACTTTTTAACAACTACACCACGTTAGACAGAAGATAAAGTATGCAGACTTGTATTGCTAAAGCCAGAAAGGAGAAATTGGGGAGGTGGGGAATACAGAGTTGAGCAGGCCCTGTGCTAGATGTTTTCAGGACCCTTCCTGAAGGTAAGAGGCCCAGTTATAAGATGGGTCTCTTTCTAAAAGTGGTTGCTTGAACAGGAAGGGAGAGAAGGTCTCAGCGATAGTCTTCTATTTTCCATAGACATGTAAAAGGCAAGGACCTGCAGTCATGAGCCTTATTTAGAAGTAGTATGTTCTTTCCCAAAGAGAATTGCCTTTCCCTGTAGCCTAGCAGTTGCCTTTTGTTTTTCTTCTTCCAGATCTCTTCCTTGTAGCTGCACCAGCATTGCTGCTCTAGTTGGCAGTGTGAACCTAGAGAACAGAGCCTAAAAATGAGGCTAAAGTCTCAAGTTTATTTAGGGCTTCACATGGTTTATATTTTGAGGGTTAAGCAAGGTCAGGTCATGTGAGCAAAGTTCACTTGAGTTCAAATTATATACAGACAGAAGGAAGCATAAGGTCCAGGAGTTTAGACTGAATATAGTCAGGAAGGCAATTTGTGCTTGCAAACATCATCTAAAGAATAATGGGTAAGATGATAGGTAATCCAAAGTAAAGCCCACTGCTATTATTATAATAACCTGGGAGGAGCATGAGAACATTACAAGAACAGCCCATGTTCTGGAGGAACAAAGGTCTACAAGACTCTTGTCTTGTTTACTTGGAATTTTCTCAGAGGCTCTCATGGACCTGTGAAGCTGTATTTGTGGATGTGGTTACCAAACCTCAAAAACCAAATACATTCAGGGATGAATAATAAGAAGGCTGTTAGTCACATTGGCACAAGAGAGAAACAATAAATGGGACCTCCTGAAACTGAGAATCTTCTGTAAAACAAAGGACATAATCAATAAGACATAGCAGCAGTCTACAGAATAGAAAAAGATCTTCGCCAACCCCACATTGGGCAGGGGGGTTGATCTCCAAAATATACAAAGAACTCAAGAAATTGGTCATCAAAATAATAAGTAATCCATAAAAAATAATGGGGTACAGACCTAAACAGAACTCTCAACAGATGAATCTAAAATGACTGAAAGACATATAAGGAATTGCTCAACATCCTTAGCCATCAGAGAAATGCAAATTAAAAGAACTTGGGAGCTTCCATCTTACACCTGTAAGAAGGGCCAAGATCAAAAACACTGATGACAATTTATGCTGGAGAGGATGTGGGGTAAAGGGAACCCTTCTCTATTGCTGGTAACAATGCAAAATCATATAGCCTCTTTGGAAATCAGTATTGCAATTTATTAGGTAATTTGTAAACAACCTACCTCAAGAAACAACAATACGACTTTTGGGTATAGCTAGAGGATGCTCAATCATATCACAAGGACATGTGCTCATATATGTTCACAGCAACATTAATTTGTAATAGGTAAAACCCGGAAACAGACTAAATGTCCCTAGACTGAAGATTGGATAAGGAAAATGTGGTACATTTACACAGTGAAGTACTACACAGTGGAAAAAAATAATGACATCTTAAAATTTGCAGACAAATAGATCTAGAAAACATATTGAGTGAGGTAACCCAAGCCCAGAAAGACAATTATCACATGTACTCACTCATAAGTGGCTTTTAGACATAAAGCAAAGAAAAACCAGCCTACAGTTCACAATCCCAGAGAGCATAGACAACAAAGAGGACCCTAAAAGAGACATACATGAATCTACATAGGACGGAGAAAAAGACAAGATATTTGAGTACATTGGAAGGTGGAGTTTATGGGAGAGGGCAGAAGGGAAGGAGGAAGGAAGGAGGGGAACGGAGAAAAATATATAGCTCAATATAAACAATAAGAAAATCCAAAACCAACCAAACAAACAAAGAGGAAGGCTTTTAGCTTGCCTTGGTAGAAAGATCGGTCTGTGAGGAAAACAAGTAGAAAAGACCAGTACACCTTGCCATTAGATGCCTAATTCTGTGGAGCAGATAAATGTCACCATTTAACTGAAAGTAAACTTTTAATTTTACATTTTTGCATATTTATCCATGAGTGAAAGTAGGTTTTCTAACTTAACAAAGTTTTTGATACTCTCATATGATTTTGGGGAATATTGCTTTGTTGTGCTTTAAAAGACGTTAGATAGCATGTGGGCCTGGGAAATTTTGGTGGGAGTTTTAAGATAATATTTTACTTTTAAAAAACAAATATAAGTTTTGTGACTTTTTGCTTGTTCCTTTTTTTTGTAAAATTATTTTCTATTTTATCTTATGAGATTTCTTGACAAACTTTTCTTTTTGGTATCTTTTTGTCTACGAACAGTGCATCAAATGCTATTTTTAATTTGTAGGTGAATTTGGAAACTTCATACATTGGCACTATGTATAAAGTACTACTGCTCACCTTTAATTCCTCCCATGTACTGCTCTCCAAATGCATATCTTATTTTTGTATGCACACTGCATGCACATACCCATGTTTATGTCTAACCTACTGAGTCTATTGGCATTGCTCAGATGTGAATGTGGCCAGGGTTGACATCTTGGGATTAGACAACCTATATAGATGCTCATCCTGGAAGTACATATATTATTCCTCTCCCAGTAGCCACAAACTATCTGTAGCTCTTCATTTACATGTCAGCTGGTGTTGTCATAATGCTAGTCGTCTTCAGGCAAGCGTATTGTTTAGTTTTCTATGGATGCAGATTTCTTGGTGTGACTGGTGGGCACTATCTTGCAGCAGGTGTCCTGTCTTCTGACTCTTAGAATCTTTCTGTCCCCCCCCCGCCTTTTTTATTTTGAGCCTCAGATAACAGTGGTTTCCTTCATGGCAGTATCTGTTGGGGTTGGCTACCACGGTCACCTAGTCTCTGCAGTTGTGGTTTCTGTACTGTCTCCTCTTGGATGTGTGTGAGAACTACACTGTTACTGTAGTCCTGTACATATGTGCATGACCAGAGCTAGGCCTACGAGTCAGGTCTTTAATTTTCACTGTTTACTTTTGCATTTGTATTTTTAAATAACTTTTTTTTTACTTTGATTGAATGCATATTCATTTTTGATTTTAAAAATAAAGACATTAAGAATAGTTAGATTATCAGGTATGTATCTACAGTCATGTATTTAGTTTGTGGTGAATGTTTTATCCCAGTTTTGGGGTAGTGTGGAGTAAGGAGTTGAAGGATACAGAAATTACTGCATGATTATCTTTAAATAAACAGTTGAACTCTTTATGTCACTTTATATGCCAGAATGAATAAAATATACAATGAATAAAATAAAAATGAAATTAAACAAAGCAAAAAAAAAAACCCTGAAGGCATAAGTCATAAACAATACCACACCAGTTTGGAATTATGATTAATAGGGTGGTATTTATTTAAAGGGGAAAAAACTTCCAGCCCTCTGCGCAACCAGGAAGGGAGTCTAGTCGCCAGAGAGGGAAGTGGCTGCTTTTTTAAAGGGAGAGAGACCACGCCCCAATGGGCTGGTATCTCAGCAGCAATAGGCTGGAGGAGTGGGAGGACCTCCCGTAACAAAACCCCTTCAACAGTAAGTAGTGAATTAACTAACAGTATTGTAATAATTCTGCATATCAAGTCATCTACAGTTCCTCAGGAATTGGAGAGAAAACAAGTAATTTCTTCTATACATAGGAAGAGTTATTTCAAAAAGCCTAAAAGCCAAGGAAAGAGGTTGCCTAGGAATATGACCCACTCAAGAATAAATACAGATGACTCAGTGATCTGATGAGAGCATCTTCAGTCTCTCTCAAAAGGAGATCTAGTGAAATCCACATGGGACTGTTTTCTACCTACCCCTAATGTCAGTTTAAACCCCCTGATTTTAGGAAATTTTATTTTAGAGAGGCTGAGAAAGGAGAAGTCAAGGCAGGATCACACATACGACTATTATGTTTGTAGAGGACTCTGTAACGCTGTCTGCCTGAAGAAGAACTGTGTTTAAAAGCAGCACAGTGTGATTGCAGATTTTTAATTTGGGAAAGATCACTGATGAATTCTTGCTAAGAGATCACTTAAAATAATATGGCTTTATCTGAAATTTTATTTCAGTATATTAGAAAATATATTTTTGATTTTTTTTTATTTTATTTTTAGCCAGAACCACCAAAGAAGCCATCTAATTGGAGAAGAAAGCATGAGGAATTCATTGCCACCATAAGAGCAGCAAAAGGCCTTGATCAGGCACTTAAAGAGGGTGGCAAACTTCCTCCTCCTCCTCCGCCTTCCTATGACCCTGGTATGTGGAGTGTTGCTCTCAGGGATGTTCATGTGGGCACTGAATGATAGAATTTGTATTTCCAGTTGATATAAAATAATTTTTATGTTGAAACCAAATGACAGAATCTTGAAATACTATGTATGGTGTCAAATAATGGTGATAATCCAAGCATCTAGATATAAAGATATTTCCTTACAGTGCAATAAATACAAACATTACTTTTTATCACAATGCTTGTGTTTAAACATAGCTTTATGTCTGAAAACTTTGGTATCTTGCCTGAAAAGAAAGTTATATTTTTAAAATATATAATTAATCCAGAACCTGTGGTATATACCAATTACCTAAATTATGTTTTAAAAAATAATATATTGATACAGTTTCTACTGGGAAACTATCAATTGTACTGTTAATTATTATCAAGGTAAAGATTGTAAGAAAACTGTGAGTTATTGAGATAGACTTAAGGTAGTAGAATTTACATTTTATTGCTGGGTATTATAGCAACAGGATGTGATTTTAACGTAAACAGCCATATTAAAATGGACTGGAGTTTACTTCCTAGCAAAGAGGATGTTCTTCAGCAAACCTGGGTTTTATTCTAGAGGAGACATTTGCCAGCTATTTCAGTGAAAGGCTCAGTTGTAGTTAGGTATTGAATGTCGCTAAGGCTACTGAGAACTACTTAGCTTTTCTTGTTATAAGCCATGGATAAAATCTAAATGAATCAGTAGAATTATATTTACAAAAGATCAAACTTTTTTTTTCAAAAACAGGCAATAGGCCGGCCAGATTACACTTCCCTGCTCTAACCGGCCAACTCCAGAAGTATTAATGGTGTGCGTTTCTGGGCTGACCCAGCTGGGCTACCTGGAACCCTTCCTAGTTGACATTATTTTCTGTAGTGTTGAGCTCCCTGCTTTAGAGACATTTCCATCATTTCTGGGCTGACCCAGCTGGGTTACCTAGAACCTTCCTAGTTGACATTATTTTCTGTAGCGTTGAGCTCCCTGCTTTAGAGACATTTCCATACTGCATCTTAGCTTCTGAGTCTTTTCCAGTCCATGTAAGTAATGCAGCAGTGGCGTTCTTCAGGGTAGTCCGCCTGGAGGAATTCTCCCAGTGTTTGAGCAGAACATTCGGATTGTTGCTAATATTTTAGACTGTTCCACTAATAACTGGGAAAAATTTCTAAAATTTGAATTATGCCAGTGAAACTCTGATTTTTAAATTATCTCTTCTATTTCTTGGGACCTCTTTAGAAAATATATTTTTTGGCAGTATTTTACCTACTTTTGATTTTTTGGAAAAAGACAGTTTAATCTGTACATGAATTTATGTTCCAATGTGTTTTTATTTAGGTGCCGTATAAAGTTCATGTCGATGGTCAAAGAAAACAATGCTTTTTTCTTACTGTTTTTTTCTACTGACACTTTATTTTATTTTTTCCTTCAGTTTAACTTAAATTGATCCAAGTGCAGGAGATAGAAAAGGCTTTTAAACATTTTCTTAACTATCTTTACTAAGTTTAGGGTCAGCCACATTGGCTGTTGTATGAGAATGGGAATCATGCTTATCAGATGGCATTATTTATATTGTTTATTCATAAAAGCTTTTACTGTCCACTACATCTTTCTCCTTTGATGTGCTTTAGATTACATTCAGTGTCCATATTGCCAGAGGAGGTTCAATGAAAATGCAGCGGACAGACATATCAACTTTTGTAAAGAACAGGCGGCGCGCATTAGTAATAAGGGCAAATTTTCTGCTGAAGCCAAAGGAAAGCCAGCGTCTCGGCCACAGGTGAATGCATGAGTTCAATTATTTCTAAAAACTAGTGAGAATGTGCCTCTTTGAGATTCATAGTTTTATGTTTATAATGTATAACACTAAACTACAGTTTTCCCATCAGCTAAAATGGATGTTGCTGAGGGCTTTGATATATAATTTGAATTACTTGGGAGAAAAATTAGCACAGATTAATTTATTAAGATATTTCATTTAGTAGGGGCTTCATTCCTTTCTTTAGTATTGCTGTAATTGCATTTTATTGGCCTTTTTTATTCAATTTAAAATATATTCTAATATTTAATCATAGTTCATTTTAAGTGAATCATTTATTGGCAGATAATTATAGTATTCTAGGTATATTTTGTTTATTTTAATTCTGTTTTGGTTCAAGAATGTATTTGCCAAAGTTTTTAGGCTATTAAAATGTGTTCTGTTGTCCTGTATGTGGTCTTATGGTATTTGCTGCATGGCATCTGGAGTGAAATGCTTGTTCTATATTGTGTGTTGGGATTTATAAATGCCAGGCCAATTGGCTGATTCCTATTGGCATTTCTTTTGAGTCTCACACCAATGATAGGAGATTTGCTAAAATATTTAGCTTTGATTATAGTATCTATTTTTCATGTTAATTTTGCCACTTGTATATCACATTTATAGAAATTTTTTAGATTGTGGTAATGTCTGCAGTTGTAATCCATGATATCTAGTGCCCTACTTATTGGTCCTTTAAAATATATTTTTTCTGGTGATTTTTGTGAAGTATATTTTATCTCATAAAATTAGTTATTTCTACTTACTATTCTTGGTTTTGCTCACGTTTTCTTTCTTTTCTCTATCTTTAATATTTTTTGTAGTCTTTTTACTAAACTACAAATAGTTATTTGTTTGTTTGTTTGTTTGTTTGTTTTAATTTGTCTGGCAAGCACCCTGGGTCGTTTGTTTGGACATATACTTGAAGTGAAATGTAATTATTCTTATACGTTGTTTGAGGTCTTTCATGCTTCTGCCTTCAGTTTTCTTTGTATATACAAACACATGTACATTATTCCTCTGCTTTATTCTTTTTACTAAGTGAAAAGCCAGGCTTTGTTTTTGTTGCTTTTCTAAGTCTTTGACACTGTCTGTCTGGAAACATTTTGAATTAAATTAAGTTGTGTCAGTTCGGCTGAATAACTTTCCTTTATTCATCTGATTGGTGCTGGCAAGTATTTGCTGCAACTCAAATGGGTTGAAATGATGTTTTTTTTCCCTCACCTAACCTAAAATTTATAGCTTTTAAAATATTTTTCAAATAATTGTGAATTTTTTGTAGTTTCCTGAGACATTTACAGTTTTTATAGAAGAATTACTTTACTCAAACATTTTTGTAAAAGTAATCTTGTTTTGATTTCTGTATTAGAATACTTTATTTTATAAATGTGAACATGTGATTCAGTATTACTAAATTGATGCAAAATGCTGCATAAATGTCATCACCATCTATCTCTTTAGCTTTTTCTTATAAAGCAAAAAGTCAGTCATTAGGTCTTCTGTGATGTTGAATTACTTGCTAAGTTTGCATTCCCTGATAACAAAATGATGTTGATAATTTTTTTTAATTTTCATTATTTTAGTATAAACCATCTCCACTTAAAAAATCAAATTCTCCTGGAACTGCAGCATCTTCCCGACTCCCACAGCCAAGTACTGCTAGCAAAGCTGTTGTAGGTAATGAGCTTCGCACGGGAACTAAACAAACAGAAGGAAGGCATGTTTGCTGATGAGGAAATGTTAGGAGCTCTTTCTGAGTAAAACTGAATGGTGCTGACTAACTTCTCCAGCCCAGTTCTTCTCTTGATTACTTGAAATGTTTTTGCGCATTTCTTATACCTGAACTTGGCAGCTGTTCTGAGAAAACAAGTCCTAACGGCATGAAGAAGATAACCCTGAAGTGGGATGTTGTTTGTGTGCCCATGACGAGATAACATACTCCTCATTAGTAGTTGTAAATTATGTAGAACTAGGCACAGAGTGTTGATAAAGAACTGCTGTCCTTGTTAGAGGCTCTGTTTTGTATGACTTTGCTTTGAGACTTGTTAAAACTATTGCCTTTTTTATTATAAGGTGTGCCTTCGGGTAAAGCATCTTCAGTTAACAGTTCTTTGGGAAACAAACTCCAGACCTTATCTCCTTCTCATAAAGCAATAGCAGCCCCTCAGGCAGGGTAAGTCCATGCTGAGTGTGTTATTGGTGTATATATTTCAATTACATCACTGTTCTGTTTGTCCTTATTTTTTCTAAGTGTGTGTGTTTCCTTCAGCGCATTGCTGGAAAGGAGATAATCAGTGATGCTATGGAGCAATCTCAGTTTATTGTTTCAGAGAATATAGTATGTTCTCATCAAGACGCTTAAAGTGCGTGCGTGTGTGTGTCTGTGTCTGTTTATTCGTGTGTGTTTGTGTGTGTTCATGTGTGTGTCCGTATGTGTGTGTGTGCGCATGTGTGTGTGTTCGTGTATGTCTGTGTGTGTTTGTGTGTATATGTGTGTGTCTCGTGTGTGTTCATGTGTTCGTGTGTGTGTGTGTCCGTGTGTGTGTATGTGTGTGTCTCATGTGTATTCATGTGTTCGTGTGTGTGCATGTGTGTGTATGTGTGTTTGTATGTGTGTTCATGTGTGTGCGCGCGTGTGTGTGTCCGTGTGTGTGTTTGAGTGAACAGCTTTATTTTGGGGCATCTAAGAAGCAATGTAAAGTATAAAGGTTTAGTAGCAGCTGTAATATGTCGAGCACTATTTATCAGCCATTGTGCTGCACAGTGTGCATAGGATTTAGTTAAGTCTCCTTTGTCATGGGGCAACTCAGAGAATCAGGCTTGTTTAAAACTCTTTAGGAAAAGCCAGGATCTGACTGAAATCTTCTTAACTAGAAAACAGTCGAGTGTTTTTATTATAATGTATGAAAATCAATGAAATGTATAGTTTTGATAGAATAATATGTATAGAAATATATTTGGCAAATATATATATAAATGCATTTTCATGATTTTGCTATGAGAAAATATAGGATACAGCATTCAAAATGGAATTTTCTGTAGTATACTTACATTATATGAAGTGTAATATAATGGAACTAAAATATGTTTAGACAAAGTGGCAGAACACACTGAATTATCACTCTTAGGTGAGACTATTCACTAATAATTTTATTCTTCATATATGTCTATCATTTTATACATATGGCTTTTAGTAAAATAGCTTTTACCTTCATTGTAATGTTGGAAACTTTGTCGATAACATTAGTTTATTATCGAAACACTTTCATGGCTTTCCTTTCCTCTGTTAATGAATCACACGGCTAAGGGATTACCACAAAATACAGTTCTTGTCTTTCTTTACATGTGCGGTTGCTTACAGAAACATAACTCACTTTATTTTCAAATATACTTTACCTCTGACTCAAAGTCATGTATTATCATGAAGAAAATTTACAGAGAAATAATTGTCAGTTGTCATTAACTATTTTTTTCTCACTCAATTCAGACAGCATAGGAAATCCAACATACACAAAGACTTCGAGTTTGGGGAGATGAGTCAGTGGGTAAAACATTTGCCATGTTAGTATGAGTATTTGAATTCCAATCCCAGAACCCATGTAAGACACAGACATTGTGATGCCCAATACTGTAACAGTCATTCTGCCAGGGATATAGGGGGCAGAGACAGAGAATCCCTGGACACTCATGGACAAGCTAGCCTGATATACATAGCAGCAAACAAGAGACTTGGGGCAGAAAGGCAGAGGTGAGGACCAGTTCCTGATGTTGTCCTCTTACCCTTACATGTGCAGCATGGCAGATGTGTGCTTACACTTAGACATACCAGTATGTGTACATACACACAAAGATCACATACCCACATACGTATAGCTCATTGGTGGACAGTTGCCTAGCATGTGCAAAGCATTGAGTTCAATTCCCAACATGATCAAGAAGAATACAAATAATGAAGACTACATAATAGAAAAACAAAACAAAAACCAGCTAACAAAATACTAACAAAGTACAATAAATTGTCTTCTTATTTCATCTTCTGGTGGTTAAAAAAACAAAACAATTCTAATTTTTTTTGTCTTCTCAATTGGTGAACTCATTAAATAGTAATATATAGACATTTACCATAGCAAAGAGAATTGTTTTTACTTGGGCTGTAGTCTTTAGTGTTTTGGTTTCAAGCTTAGAAAGCAATATTTTTCAATACTTCTATTATATTGTTTTTCTCTTTGGTCATATTAAGTTATATTATGTTTTAAGCAGGCTATGGACATGAAGCTGGCTGGTAGAATTTTTCAAAAAGAATTTTGGGACTGGGAAATTGGTTCAGTGGTTAAAAAACATGCTATACAAGTATGAGGTCTAGAGTTCTGATCCCCAGAAGCCATACAGCACTGAGTGGGCATAGCAGTCTGCTGTGATGCCATCCCTGGAGGTGACTTCTCAGTTCCCAGATTAAGCTCACAGGACTAACCTTACCAATAGCTCTGGGTTTGATATTGAGTCCCTGCATCAGTGAATGCGGTGGAAGGACAGTTAAGGATGATTCCTGTTACCAACTTCTATCCTCCATGTGCTTGTTCACACCATACACACCCACAGACACACATGCACCCATACATCCTGTACACACATGCATGGACACCATACACATCCACAGACAGACACACACACACACACACACACACACATGCTGTGCATACACATGCATACATCATATACACCCACAGACAACACACACCCACACCCACACATGCTGTGCACACACATGCATACATCATATACACCCACAGACACACACATACACACCCACACATGCTGTGCACACACATGCATACATCATATACACCCACAGACACACACATACACACCCACACATGCTGTGCACACACATGCATACATCATATACACCCACAGACACACATATACACACCCACACATGCTGTACACATACCATCACATACACCCACAGACAGACACCCACACCCACAAACAGACACAAATGCACCCATACATTTGTACACATGCATGGACACCATACACACCCACACATGCTGTACACACACATGCATACATCATATACACCCACAGACAGACACATGTTGTAGGAGGCTGCTAGTTAATTTCCCTACCGCCATCAGCTCAGACCCAAAGTAACCACAAGATGCTGTATTAATTAAATCACTGCTTAACCCATTAGCTGTAGAATCTTATTGGCTAACTTTTAAATCTGAATTTAACTCACTTCTATTAATCTATGTATCGCCACGAGGCTGTGGCTTACAGGCAAATGTCTGTCTCTGGTGGCTCCATGGCTTCTCTCTGCCTCCGCCTCCTTTCTCCCAGCATTCAATTTAGATTTCCCCGCCTAGCTCTGTTCTACCCTATCACAGGCACAAAACAGCTTCTTTTTTAACCAGTGGTATTCACAGCATACAGAGGGGAATCCTACATCATGTACCCACACACGTTGAAAAATAATCAGACAAAAGCTTGAACATACATATGCAAACACCACACACAAAAGAGAGAAAGAAGAGTCAGCAACAGAAAGCGCACAAGAGTGGGTAAGTGAGCACACTGCTCATGGAGTCAGAAAACCAAGCTCTTGCATTCTACCGTGCCACTAGGTCGGTATGTAGCAATCTCTCTGACATTGCTTTGTGACTGTGAATAGACTTTGATTCCTGTTGTAAAAAAACCTGACCAACGTTTATACGAACCTAAGAGAAAAATGGTTTTACCAACAGGCAGAGATTTTGAACAAATACTTTTATATGTATTGTATTGCTTATTGTGCCATGAAAATTGAACACCTTGGTTGTCCCATATCTTATTAAATTGGCAGTCATGTGTGTTCAGATTCTAATTATCTATATAGAAGTTCCTTCTACTTGAAGAGAAATTACTTTTTACTTCGGGTCAATAAATTTACTGTAATAGTTTGAGTATTATTTTTATTGAGCATATTCCTGTTATGTATCAGAACACTCAACAGCTGTCTATTTAGCACCAGCCACCATTTCTGTTTTAGAGTCTTTGAAGCAGTGATGCTTTTGTTTCCTTTGCTAAATTGTAAACACCATGAGGGCAGAATCAACATGAAAACATCCATCCTAACTAAATTCCTGATATTTTTAGGGGTTGACTGATAAAAATAATGGATTGATATATTAATCAACTATGAACTTGTTGGCTTATTCTAGAGTAGTGGTCCTGGTGAAGAATACTGTAAAGTTTTCATGGCAATGATCTTCTCCAATTATCTATCAATTCAGGATTGAGTGACGATGGGATTAAGACTAGTCAGTTGTAACATTGAAGGTATTAAACATTACATGAGACTGATAAATACTTGATGATCCTACAGCTGTTTCAAGCATGCTGTTTATAATCTTTAGTATAGTTAACTTTATTCATGTATGCTAGTCTATCATAGTCTGTCATATATTGGAATTATGACATTTTAGTATTTGTAGTTGGAAAAATCCTTATGTTTCTTCATTCTAGATAACCTGTAGTGAATATCTACATTTTTTTAAAATAAAGCTCTCAAATATACTTTTTCACCTGAATTCTAACTGATAATTTTATGTAATCTCAGGAAAGTTCAGAAATTTGACGTAATATTGTCATCTTTGAGTAAGATCACAAAACTGACATGTCTTAAGCTGTGTTTTCTCTCCCCCCGCCCCATCTTGGTTTCTTTTTTTTATTTTTTTTTAAATTTTTTTCTTTCCCATATTTTCTTTTTTTTTCTTTTTTTTTAAATTTATTTATTTATTAAAGATTTCTGCCTCCTCCCCGCCACCGCCTCCCATTTCTCTTGGTTTCTTGACACAAGCTTTCTCTGTGTAACAGCCCTAGTTGTCTTCATACTCACTCTGTAGGCCAGGCTGGCCATGAACTCACAGAGATCTACCTGCCTCTGCCTCCTGAGTACTGGTATTAAAGGCATGTGCCACCACTGCCCAGCATACATATCATTTTCAATAGCTAAATTACTTTTTCAATAATTTCTGTCAGTTACTAAGGAGAAGTGTTTAGAGATTGACCATAGTAGATGGTGTAAAGTGTAGCTACAGAGTACATGTAAGGAATATTGTGAGTGCAGGTGGGCGTGTGTACACAGATGTGTGTACATGATTGTGTGTAGGCCTGAGGTCAGTATTGATT